TTGTCGCAAGAAGATTGTCTGGGAAGGTATTGGTGACTAAAAAATATTTAGTCACCGAAAGTCCTAAATTGGCGACTAAACAATTAGTTGGCAAAAGTAAAGGTATTGGCGACTAATTTTTTTAAGTTGCCGAAAGTCGCCAATGGGTGACTAAAAATTTAGTCGCCCAAAGTTTTCAATAAATGTGTTTTTTGTTTTAGCGACTAAAATATTTAGTCGCTAAAAACATGGCACTCCTTTTTGGCTACCATTTTTTTAGTCGCTAAAATCATGGTACTCCTTTTTAGCTACTAATTTTTTAGTTGCCAAAATCCTTTTTTTTTTTGGCTACTAAGTATTTAGTTGCCAACAAGTTCCCTTTTTATTTTTTGGCCACAAAGTGTTTAGTCACCAAAAGCTCTATTTATTAATTTTTTTTTTTAAAATGCTTAAATTGAATATTTTTCATTAAATTTTGAATTATATGCATTTCATTATCAATGCAACCTATAACCTGTACATATACAGAATAATACGTTTATCAATTATCATCTAAATCCATTATTAGTAATACCCATTTCATTATCAACTATCCAAAAACTTTAACTTGTAACATCATATTCTAAATATCATAAAAATCCACACCATCCAAGTATAATCCATCTAAATTAAATATTACATACAAAAACATTGGATTTCCAAAGCAGAGGGTTGTAGAAAAATAAATGGTTTCCATATACATAACAAATGCTCTTCGTACATAAAAATAAATATCCACAATAGCCCACGCAAAAGCAATCTGTAAAAAAAAAAAAAAAATTAAAAATAAATAAATAATAAGCTATATGCTTTAAGGACTTGAATTACATGACCTTAATTACATGACAAATTAAGGTCGGTCCATTAAGCCTCTTTCCCAGATCGTGGCTCCCTAAAGTACAACAGAAATTCATTTCTCATTACTTTGAATTTTGGTAGTGTCATCAACAATTTATCCCCAAATCCTTATGTTGCAAACACCATGGATGTAACTGAAATCATTCAAGGATCTACTTATCTAAAATAAAAAACTGAAGCTGGATAATGAAGTGAGTTTCTTGGTGTTTAGGAAATCAAAGTGGATTTAACATTCAAGCTACAGGCCTTTTTCATCTAAAGGTGCTAAATCTCTTTCTTCCATAGTACCTTCCCATCTATAAGAGATGCATACAACTCCGAAACCCTTTTCCCTAAAATCAGCTGGTACACTACTCAAGATGGATTCCTTTTCATCCATTGCAATATGAAAATGTAAGGAGAGAGAGAGAGAGAGAGAGAGAGAGAGAGATGAATGAGAAAAGAAGAAGAAAAAAAGGCGGGACAAATAAAGAATTGGAAATATTATTTCAATTGATTTGTGTAGAAGACATAAAGAATAATCAAAAGAACAGACAAATGTAGATAAGTTGGATCAACTATACTCCAAAAAGGAAAAAAAAAAATTATAGCCAAGTCAATAACAGAAAAACTGACAAGCCTATGAAATATAAGTTGGTCAGAATTTCATGCATGACTAAAAACCCATTTCAGGTCTAGGAGCCAGAGTTAAGAAAGGCAACATAATATTTCATTCAATTTTTGGGTCTAACATCACAGAGAGAGAGAGAGAAGGGGAGAGATTACTATCAGTTTTTTATTCACAACCTGTTAAAATGACCAAATTAATTCTCCATATTACAGTAGGTAGGATTAAATCCAAAGGGAGAGAACAAGATTGTCAAAACATTACTACTAAGAATAAAATGGTCAAGTAGAGCTTAATTTCATTTCTAATTTCAACAAATTAGAGTAATCATATGTGATATATGATTGAAATTTTATTCAACTATCAATCCATGCAAGAAGCTAGTCATTTCAGTTACAAATGAATGTGCCTCTAGTATAATAGTAACTGTAATCAAAATTGATTGCAACAAGCCCATTATAGATACCACAAAGCAAAACTCAATAGCAGATGTATAGCGATCCCGGATTTACCCTTGTTGTATAGTGATCTGGACATATGTCCATGGATGTTGGTAGTTGATTATTATCTTGTTTACATCCTTTCTTACCTTGTATTTCAGTTATAGGATGTGTTGGGCAGGTTTGTTACAGGTTGGTTGAGTTTAGAAACCGAAACTAGTTGCCCAGATTTTGGCCTGTCCGCTCGAGCGAGGGTTTTAACGCTCGAGCGGGGAATACACCCATCCAGTATTTCCTGTGCAGTGTTGGACGCTCGAGCGGGGGATTGGCCGCTTGAGCGGGAGGTTGTGAGTGACGCTCGAGCGGGGATTCGAGCGCTCGGGCGGGGTCCTGTTGTGTCGAGATGCTGGGAGAGTGCATCCGGCGCTCGAGCGGGAGTCTGTGAGTGCCGCTCGAGCGGGTGTTTGGACGCTCGAGCGGGGCGACTGGGTTTAAGTTCCGAGTTTTGACTTTTCAAATCACTTTTTCACTTTCTCTTCTCTCTCCTACTTTCCCAAAAACACCATTGTTGAGCCTCTCACTCTAGAACTCTACCTTCTCTCTAGGTTTTGATCTAGTAGGAGTGATTTTCTCATCCTTGGCCTTTACAAAAAAGTTGTTGATCGTCGAGGGCTACTTTTTAATATGAAAATTTCGGGATTTGGAGCACGTTGGGTTTTGTCATCTTCTCCCTTGGGGCTCCGGGTTTGAGGTAGGGATATCCTACTCCTCTCTATGGATTTTGTCTTTAAATTTTAGTATTTTGAGATGTTGGGGTTGGTTTGATAATTTTGTGAAAGTTTGGGACTTTCGTGTAATTTTACAAAAGTTGGGGTTTTATTTATAATAAACCTAGATGCATGTTTGG